ATTGTGTATAAGTTTCATAACATTTGGTTGAGGCAAACTCAAGTTAGAGAACGGAAACTAAAAATTTTGCAATATTTCCTTTTATAAAGGGGCATAACTCTAGATCGGTTAAAGTGACGCCACCAAAATTCAAACTTGATCTGTGTTTTGTGGTAATAAGCATTGTGTATAAGTTTCATAACATTTGGTTGAGGCAAACTGAAGTTAGAGAACGGAAACCAATTTCGGGACGGACGTACGTACGTACGTACGTACGTACAGACGGACAAGGGTAAAACTTAATGCCCCCTCCGCTACTGCGGGGGCATAAAAATGTACAAAACCCAGTGATATCTGAAACTTCAATATTTGTATCAAGGCTGCATGCAGGTAAAAAAGTAAACTTGTGACAGACAAGGCTTCCGTGATCATACCGTAAAAACACACGCCATAACATTCCTTAAAACTGTTCCTTTATTTTTTGTAACAGCGCTATAGCTTATTGTAGAATAACGCCTTTCCAAATTAAAAAAAAATCCATATTATGGTCTATGCCAGGAAGTTATCATAATGCCATAGAAAGACATCTATAGCATGCTTATTTATGCGTTGTAGTATTCAGATATACATACATTGAACAACTCGATTATTAACTATTTGGTATATATATATGCACACTCTGCTTGGGGTTGAATCACTAAGTTAACATTCTTGTGGATATGAACATCTACATAACATGTTCTAATTATCTACATGTACAAAGTTTCCCGAAATTTTGTTGTATGGTTTCAGAGGAGTTGCGATGAAAAGAACAGGACTGATGGACAAACAAACTGACGGGTCAAAAACATTATACTTGTTTACTTTGTTGTGTGGGGTATAATAACTTGGTAAATCCAATAAATTTGTTTATGATTCTAAATTTTTAGAAATAAATTACGACAAATAGTGTAGACTTGAAGAAATACGAACTATGATTTTTTAATATTTGAAATGAAAAAGGTATTGCAAAATTATTCTTGTTTCAAGATTTTTGTTATACAGAAAAAAATATAAGTGATACCAGTACAGTAAGATGCAGATTTGTTGTGGTATAAAAGTGAACAGTGCTGTAATTAACATTTACACAAATTAAGAAATTAACGAAAAAATGATAAATGTTGAAGAATGAAAGATAATTTTAGAAATTGATTAAGCCAGATAGACATTATGAATTTTGTCCTTTCTTTTACATTCATAAATAATGTATAAGTGAACAAACATTTACACTCGTGCGTAGTCAGTAGATAGTACAGATGTATAAATTTTTTTTTTTAAAAACAACCTAGCATCATATTGCTAGTAGCACGAGTAGCATTGTTTGGTAAATTTGTGCTTTTTGTCTCACCTGCGAAAAAAGTCGCAATATTTCGTCACAGTATGCAAGACATAGGTATAACTATCCAACAGCGTAAACCATTTGTGTAAAGCTTTATATATTTCAGAAGGTAGAAGACCTGGAAGCTTCATACCTTGTATGTAGATACCTTATGTTACAACGCTTTGGTCTGTCAAATGTCCATTGTCCTTGACCTCATTTTTAGGGTTCAGCAACTGCTTGAAAAAAAAAGTTTTTTTGTCATGTGAATTTCTCACTTATTATGAGTACATGAAGAAGAATAACTATACTTGGTATATGGGTGTCTTGCAATGCCTACATGTCTGTCAGACAGGGTTCACCTGACCACCTGACCTAGACCTCATTTCATGGATCAGTGATCAAGGTTAAAGTTACGTGATTAGGTCAGTTTCTCAGATACTATAAGCAGTAGGTCAACTATATGTGGTGTATGGAATGATTGTAAGGGGTACATGTCAGTCTGGCAGGTATTATTTGACCTTGACCTCATTTTCATGGTTCATTGGTCAATGTTAAGTTTTTGTATTTCGGTCTGTTTTTCAAATACTATAAGCAATAGGTCAACTATATTTGGTGTATGGAATGTATGTAAGGTGTACATGTCAGTCTAGCTGGTATCATCTGACCTTGACTTCATTTTCATGGTTTATTGGTCAATGTTAGATTTTTGTGTTTTTGTTTGGTTTTCCAAATACTATAGCAATATGTCAGCTATGTTTGGTGTATGGGACAATTGTTAGGTGCACATTTCTGTCTGACATGTATTATCTGACCTTGACCTCATTTTCATGGTTCATTGGTCAGTGATAAGTTTTTTTTGTAATTTTGTCAGTTTATGAGATACTATGAGTAATAGGTCAACTATATTTGGTGAATGGAATGTATGTAAGGTGTACATGTCGGTCTAGCTGGTATCATCTGACCTTGACTTCATTTTCATGGTTTATTGGTCAATGTTAGATTTTTGTGTTTTGGTTGGTTTTCCAAATACTATAGCAATATGTCGGCTATGTTTGGTGTATGGGACAATTGTTAGATGCACATTTCTGTCTGACATGTATTATCTGACCCTGACCTCATTTTCATGGTTCATTGGTCAATGATAAGTTTTTGTAATTTTGTCAGTTTATGAGATACTATGAGCAACAGGTCAACTATATTTGGTGTATGGAATGATTGTAAGGTGTACATGTCTTTCTGGCATTGTTCATCTGACCATGACCTCATCATAGAACATTGATAATGTTAAAGTCCTATGATATGAGTTCCTTGAAATTTTTATGTTACAGAAATTATTGAACCAATGCATACATCTGATGTTCAGTAGTTGTCGTTTGTTGATGTGGTTCATAAGTATTTCTCGTTTCTCGTTTTTTATATAGATTAGACTGTTGGTTTTGAATAGCCACCAACTTGTGATAATTTGACGCACACATTAATTTCGAAAATAATGATTATATCATTAAACCGTCTTCATTACTGATTAAAATAAAGATTTAAAATGAAAATAGTAAATGATATATAGTCGAAAAGAGCAATTAACCAATGATGTTGGCTGCCATTAATGCCAGTTTTTTCTTTCTAAATATTTTGAAAAAAGTTTTATTTTTTAAATAAGCAAACTTTATTAAAAGTTTTATATTTGGTTTGATATTTTTGAACTGTCTTTTTTTTTTTTGGCTCACTCAAGGATTTGTATAGTGAGAAGGATTGGAATCTCGCGGTATATCGACACTTCTCGAGTATCGTGAAATGTTGCATACTCGCCACTATAAATTTATACGCGCCTGTTAGTAAATATCCGGTCGAACAGCGTGTATTGCAAGATAATCATTTCTGACTTGTTTGTTGTTAGGTTTAGTTTGTTTTAGCATCTTTGATCAATATTTTGTTTTAATCTGCAAAGATATCACGATTCCTTCTGAGTATGTCATATTGAGGACCTCTCTCAAGCTGGAAAATAAACTTTGATAGTCGTTTACATTTGGCAGTTGCCGAAAATTATCGCAATTATGTTGTTGTTTTTCTTGTGATCGTAATTTGAGTAGCCCAACACATCTTTATGGTACTTGTAATAGCTGTTTAAGATAACCCCAAAGAGAAGGTCAAAACAATTATTTATTTTTGCAGCTTGTCTTTGTCCTTTCTTCTAGTATATGAAACTGACCCAACTACCACAAGAGCATTGACCATGTTGACAGTTAGAGGAAATCATACAGTCTTCAAGAATAGTAAGTCTCCATACAATATCTGTATGTTGATTTTTTATCATAGTTAAGTTATGAATAAATTTAACAGAATCAATATACATGTACAAATGTAAGGTCCGCAACAAATGAGAAATTAAATGAATTCATTGATTTTCAAGAATTCTCGTCTGTTCAAACTGCAAATACATGAGTTGTAACTGGAACTATAGAGGTTTGAGTTCAATGAAGGACTGGCAGGAAGTTAAAAATAAGTTCATGATTATAAACAACAGTAAAATAGAAACTGAAATGATATGGAGTAAATGTACATGTACATGGGACTAAATCGCACCCAATACATAGAAAACATAGAAAATTATCAATGAACATGGCTTTTATTCCTGTTCTTCATCTTGACAGTTGATGTAGGGTCTTCAACAATGAATGTATCATTCATATCCTAAAGTCAATGGTTGTACCCATGGCAAGTACAAGTAAATTTCCCTTGTGAAAAACATTAGTAACACAAGCAACTAATATCATTTTACGAATAACTTTGATGGGTTATCTGCTTATTGTGTCATACACCCTACTCATAATTTGTTTCACATTTTTCACGTTGTGGCCTTTTAGAGACAACTATACAATATGGGTTTTTCTCATTGTTGAAGGCTGTACAGTTGCCTATAATTGCTTACATCCACTTCATTTGAATTTGATGGATAGTTGCAATTGTCTCATTGGCACTCATACATCTCCTTATTTTTATATTGGTAAAGATTTGACATTTTTTATTAGCATTAAGAGCATATATAAGTGGACAATCATTTCATTTTTAGGGGGTAAGGCAGGAGGATTTCTCTTGGACAGATTATTCACAAATAGTCAATATTATTTCATTTTTATCTGTTGCTCAGATTGTTTATGTCACATAGCTTCATTTTCATTTTTTTACGTAATTTTTCATGCTTAACATGCTTAATGTGAGGCAGAAATGCAGCAGCTTATTCATTTTCATCTTGAACGGGCAACATTATTTCTTCTACTAATTCTCACCAAGCTAAAATATTCATTCCCACATCACCCCACCTTCATCCCATTGACCCAATAAATCCATTGGTTATCCACTTTCAAAAAGTACCTACATTGTACCTAGAAAACCTATCTTAGTGAACACTGACCTGTCTTCGTTTACATCCTTGTCCTTTGATCTCCTGATAGTTGTCTTAATAGCAATCGTACCACATCTCCTTATTTTTATACCCACATGAAATATTTTTTTACATTCCTTATGAACCAAGCATGAAAGACCAAAAAATGGAACATTGTTTCAAACTAAACTATCTGGGAACACCCAACCACAGAAATGCTGGTACCTGCTATGACATGTATGAAGACATGTATTCTGGATGTCTTGTATTAAAAGAAGTTTGTTCTTGCTGACAAATTTTATTAACACACAAAGCAATATTAAAACATGTTAATTTTCCAAGTCCTTTTTTTAATTCCATTCATGACACTATTTGAATAAATATATAGTCACTGGTTGGATTTTACATATTGATAATGGTGATTTCATACTCTGGTTAACTTCCGTCTTAAGTTTGTCACAGGAGCTGACACAATTTTTATTTGAATTTTTGGAACATAAAGTATCCTCTGCGACGTGTACATCATAGAAAATACATTCTACAAATGTATGTCTTCTAGAGGCTTGGTTTGATGCCTTTCCCTGTATTGCATGCAGTATGAGTGATCATTTTGTAAGTCAGAATATGGTGTTATTTCTTGCACTTTCACCACAAAGAAACATATCTCCTTTCTTTAACTTTGTTATCCTGAAAATAACAAACATTTTTTTTTGTAAGACTAAAATACATAAAATATAATTATGGTTTCCCTGACATTTTCCATATTGTAAAATTATAATATTAATCCATTTAATTTCAAAGCAAAAAAAATAAAACATTACATGTAAAACAAAATACACCTGCCTACTACAAATTAAAAACGAATAAGAATCTAAAAATTACATTTTGTGGCAGTACTAGTACTAGTGCTGAAAGCTGTCAGAGCTGGCTAGAATTCAACTAAGAAATATTAAGAGATGTGGCACACTGGTATGATTCTTGCACAAATTCTGAATATAATGATTTTAAAGTAATTCTGGTATCAGTATTATTTTATATATTTAATAATGTAGTTACCTGATTATTTTCCACAGCCATAACCAACTATTGTCTTCAGAGAGAAGTACTTTTAGAATACAAAAAATATCTTTTACATCTGAAAGTAAAAAACTTAATGCAAATATGATGTTAAACAATTATACACAGTAACTGGAATTTTATTACTTATGTATCAAGAGTAAGCTACTCTCCTAGCTGTCCATATATAAAAGCTAAATAATTATTTTTTATCAAATAACATTTAGAGAATTTTGCAGTAATTTAAAAACGAATAATTGGGCACTCGTCACTGCTGGGTTATGTATAATCTGTTACTGTTTAAACCATGTAAACAGATGTAATTTACATGTTCACTATAATAATGCTGGGATATGTATTTTATTGAAATTAATCCAGTTATCGTGGGTTTTATGGTATACATATATATATATATGAACATTAACAAAGTAACACAGTTCATAATACATCACAAAAATAATAAAATACAAGACATGAATTTATGTATAATATGGAGTCTGGTCAGAAAAAGCTCAGAATTTTAAAGTCCGCATTGGCACATTATGCATCCTATACAAGTACATAACAGGTTGATTGTATTGGGGTAACAAGGATTAATTATGTACTTTAGTAGACATGTAGCCATCCCAAGAATATCAAATGTTTGACCATGACAACATAAAATTTTTGACTATTTTGGTATTTCTTTATATTTCAAATGATGAACCCAGACGCCCAAGAGTCCTGACAATACATGTATGAAGAGTTTTTAGTAGTGAGCTGAGAGTTTATAACTGCTCCTTGATGAAGTGCCTAATTTTACTTTCAAATTCTCCATACATTTACATGTGAATGGACCGTTCTTTTCATTTTGGTTTTTGTTTATGAGCGTTAAGAAATGTTGTGTATTGTGGAACACTTTTTGACAACAAAGCCTGAAAAATAGTCTTTCATAAAATTTCTTTTTATTCATTTGGGCAGTTAGAAAAATTATACTGGTCTGGGACGAGCGCTTGTGATTTATCCTGAAGACTGCAATATATATTTTTTATTTCATTAACTGAATTAGTCGCACTGAAATCGTACCCTTATCCCCCACACTTTTAAGCACATATATACACATATACAAATGTAACTATCTCCTGTTATCTTTGGTACAGGCCTGAGGTATACCAAAAAATTGGAGAGATAGACAGTCTTAATATATGATAGTAAGAACACGCCTTTAACTTGTAAATTAATAGTGTCCCTATATTTTCACTTTATACTACTGCCAAAATATGCTATCACCTATGACAGTAGCCTATGTGCAGTATGACTGTATGATATACTCAGTTGATGTGGTGAATGTAAGCAGGGTTCTGTAAACCCTTGAAGGCATAAAGGAATTTCCCAGTACATTTTCATATCAATTCTAAAGGAAAAAGCAATACCTTTTGGTGTAAATGTCCATGAAACAACAGATGCAAACTATGTATTCTACTGTAAACATTTTCATCACGTTCGAGGGACTACAGGAAGTATATTTATGTTAATTTGGTCCCGCCCATTATAACGACTTTTGGATGCATCTAGTAACCGTAGCGGTATTTTGAAAATATGATAATATCACACGTTATCATTTTGCAAGCCAAATGTTTTAGAAAGTACAACAAATAAACTATGATAAATTGATATAATTACGTTTTAGTGTTGAAATCGACCGATTGTGGCACTTTATTAATATTTTATCAGTCCACCCTTTTTTGCACTGACGCGGGACGATTTTTGACGGTTGGTCTGAAATAACCATTAAAATAACAACAACGAAAGCTCCTTACACTATATAGTTTATAATATGCACGCACCACACACATTTATTTCATATAATTCAAGTTTCAGAACACAATTCTGTATTATGAAGGAGGAGATTGAGATTAAAGTTGTGGTTTGGACCGCCTATTTGGGCGGGATTATTACGATGACCAATAGATAAAATGCATAGTATATTTAGATGCAGACAATGTGTTTTGTAAAGATATAAACTGTTTTTTGAATCAGAACTGTCATAAACTTACACTTAAAAGTATCACATCATGTAATTTTGTTATAGTATACTTACAAAACGCCGAGTTTATCTGGAAATGACATAAATTCAACTTGTAATGGTGGACGAAAAACGACTAACGAGATGCATCATGGTAAATCTCGCAAAATCTCATCATACGCAGCTTATTTCAATACAGCAATGCAAATAGTCCACGAGATTCCAATCCTTCTCACTATACAAATCCTTGGCTCACTGTTGAATATATGTAAATTTTATTTGAGTTTATCAGCATCTGTCTATAAATAATTTTGTTTTTGTTTCAGATACTATGAAGAAGATGTTTACAGCAAAGACCCCGAAAATGGAGCCATTGACGAAGACCAGGACAAGAAAATTAAAGGAAAGTATATTTAATTTTAGTCTAATTATAATTTTAGTTCTATTACAGTAGCAGGCCTTACCAAGTTCCAGTCAGTCACAGAACATGAAGATTGTTTCATTGAAGATTGGAAATGAGTAGCATGTAAGTATTTGGTTATACAATTGTACTTAAAACTATGTTCATATTTGTTAGGTCATTAAAATCAGTTTTTCCCTGGAAATTTACATATTCATCTGCATTTTTCTACAAGTAATTGGAAAAATATGACCTGATTTAAATTGTTTGAAATTCAGTTGAATTTTAATCATTTCTGTTCAAGTGTATACATCAGATTGTTTTGAATAGCCACCAACTTGAGTTCATTTGAGGCACACATTAATTTCGAAAAATAATGATTATATCATTAAACCGTCTTCATTACTGATTAAAATAAAGATTTAAAATGAAAATAGTTAATGATATATAGTCAAAAAGCGCAATTGACCAATGATGTTGGCTGCCATTAATGCCAGTTTTTTCTTTCTAAATATTTTGAAAAAAGTTTTATTTTTTAAATAAGCAAACTTTATTAAAAGTTTTATATTTGGTTTGATATTTTTGAACTGTCTTTTTTTTTTTGCTCACTGTTGAATATATGTAAATTTTATTTGAGTTTATCAGCATCTGTCTATAAATAGTTTTGTTTTTGTTTCAGATACTATGAAGAAGATGTTTACAGCAAAGACCCCGAAAATGGAGCCATTGACGAAGACCAGGACAAGAAAATTAAAGGAAAGTATATTTAATTTTAGTCTAATTATAATTTTAGTTCTATTACAGTAGCAGGCCTTACCAAGTTCCAGTCAGTCACAGAACATGAAGATTGTTTCATTGAAGATTGGAAATGAGTAGCATGTAAGTATTTGGTTATACAATTGTACTTAAAACTATGTTCATATTTGTTAGGTCATTAAAATCAGTTTTTCCCTGGAAATTTACATATTCATCTGCATTTTTCTACAAGTAATTGGAAAAATATGACCTGATTTAGATTGTTTGAAATTCAGTTGAATTTTAATCATTTCTGTTCAAGTGTATACATCAGATTGTTTTGAAAATAATGATTATATCATTAAACCGTCTTCATTACTGATTAAAATAAAGATTTAAAATGAAAAAAGTTAATGATATATAGTCAAAAAGAGCAACTGACCAATGATGTCGGCTGCCATTAATGCCAGTTTTTTCTTTCTAAATATTTTGAAAAAAGTTTTTTTTATTTTTTAAATAAGCAAACTTTATTAAAAGCTTTATATTTGGTTTGATATTTTTGAACTGTCTTTTTTTTTTTTTTTGCTCACTGTTGAATATATGTAACTTTTATTTGAGTTTATCAGCATCTGTCTATAAATAATTTTGTTTTTGTTTCAGATACTATGAAGAAGATGTTTACAGCAAAGACCCCGAAAATGGAGCCATTGACGAAGACCAGGACAAGAAAATTAAAGGAAAGTATATTTAATTTTAGTCTAATTATAATTTTAGTTCTATTACAGTAGCAGGCCTTACCAAGTTCCAGTCAGTCACAGAACATGAAGATTGTTTCATTGAATATTGGAAATGAGAAGCATGTAAGTATTTGGTTATACAATTGTACTTAAAACTATGTTCATATTTGTTAGGTCATTAAAATCAGTTTTTCCCTGGAAATTTACATATTCATCTGCATTTTTCTACAAGTAATTGGAAAAATATGACCTGATTTAAATTGTTTGAAATTCAGTTGAATTTTAATCATTTCTGTTCAAGTGTATACATCAAGATTGTTTTGAATAGCCACCAACTTCTGATCATTTGAGGCACACATTAATTTCGAAAATAATGATTATATCATTAAACCGTCTTCATTACTGATTAAAATAAAGATTTAAAATGAAAATAGTTAATGATATATAGTCAAAAAGCGCAATTGACCAATGATGTTGGCTGCCATTAATGCCAGTTTTTTCTTTCTAAATATTTTGAAAAAAGTTTTATTTTTTAAATAAGCAAACTTTATTAAAAGTTTTATATTTGGTTTGATATTTTTGAACTGTCTTTTTTTTTTTGCTCACTGTTGAATATATGTAAATTTTATTTGAGTTTATCAGCATCTGTCTATAAATAATTTTGTTTTTGTTTCAGATACTATGAAGAAGATGTTTACAGCAAAGACCCCGAAAATGGAGCCATTGACGAAGACCAGGACAAGAAAATTAAAGGAAAGTATATTTAATTTTAGTCTAATTATAATTTTAGTTCTATTACAGTAGCAGGCCTTACCAAGTTCCAGTCAGTCACAGAACATGAAGATTGTTTCATTGAATATTGGAAATGAGAAGCATGTAAGTATTTGGTTATACAATTGTACTTAAAACTATGTTCATATTTGTTAGGTCATTAAAATCAGTTTTTCCCTGGAAACTTACATATTCATCTGCATTTTTCTACAAGTAATTGGAAAAATATGACCTGATTTAAATTGTTTGAAATTCAGTTGAATTTTAATCATTTCTGTTCAAGTGTATACATCAGATTGTTTTGAATAGCCACCAACTTGTGATCATTTGAGGCACACATTAATTTCGAAAATAATGATTATATCATTAAACCGTCTTCATTACTGATTAAAATAAAGATTGAAAATGAAAATAGTAAATGATATATAGTCAAAAAGTGCAATTGACCAATGATGTTGGCTGCCATTAATGCCAGTTTTTTCTTTCTAAATATTTTGAAAAAAGTTTTATTTTTTGAATAAGCAAACTTTATTAAAAGTTTTATATTTGGTTTGATATTTTTGAACTGTCTTTTTTTTTTTGCTCACTGTTGAATATATGTAAATTTTATTTGAGTTTATCAGCATCTGTCTATAAATAATTTTGTTTTTGTTTCAGATACTATGAAGAAGATGTTTACAGCAAAGACCCCGAAAATGGAGCCATTGACGAAGACCAGGACAAGAAAATTAAAGGAAAGTATATTTAATTTTAGTCTAATTATAATTTTAGTTCTATTACAGTAGCAGGCCTTACCAAGTTCCAGTCAGTCACAGAACATGAAGATTGTTTCATTGAATATTGGAAATGAGAAGCATGTAAGTATTTGGTTATACAATTGTACTTAAAACTATGTTCATATTTGTTAGGTCATTAAAATCAGTTTTTCCCTGGAAACTTACATATTCATCTGCATTTTTCTACAAGTAATTGGAAAAATATGACCTGATTTAAATTGTTTGAAATTCAGTTGAATTTTAATCATTTCTGTTCAAGTGTATACATCAGATTGTTTTGAATAGCCACCAACTTGTGATCATTTGAGGCACACATTAATTTCGAAAATAATGATTATATCATTAAACCATCTTCATTACTGATTAAAATAAAGATTTAAAATGAAAATAGTAAATGATATATAGTCAAAAAGTGCAATTGACCAATGATGTTGGCTGCCATTAATGCCAGTTTTTTCTTTCTAAATATTTTGAAAAAAGTTTTATTTTTTAAATAAGCAAACTTTATTAAAAGTTTTATATTTGGTTTGATATTTTTGAACTGTCTTTTTTTTTTTGCTCACTGTTGAATATATGTAAATTTTATTTGAGTTTATCAGCATCTGTCTATAAATAATTTTGTTTTTGTTTCAGATACTATGAAGAAGATGTTTACAGCAAAGACCCCGAAAATGGAGCCATTGACGAAGACCAGGACAAGAAAATTAAAGGAAAGTATATTTAATTTTAGTCTAATTATAATTTTAGTTCTATTACAGTAGCAGGCCTTACCAAGTTCCAGTCAGTCACAGAACGTGGATTGTTTCATTGAAGATTGGAAATGAGAAGCATGTAAGTATTTGGTTATACATTTGTACTTAAAACTATGTTCATATTTGTTAGGTCATTAAAATCAGTTTTTCCCTGGAAATTTACATATTCATCTGCATTTTTCTACAAGTAATTGGAAAAATATGAGCTGATTTAGATTGTTTGAAATTCAGTTGAATTTTAATCATTTCTGTTCAAGTGTATACATCAGATTGTTTTGAAAAGCCACCAATTTGTGATAATTTGAGGCACACATTAATTTTGAAAATAATGATTATATCATTAAACCGTCTTCATTACTGATTAAAATAAAGATTTAAAATGAAAAAAGTTAATGATATATAGTCAAAAAGAGCAATTGACCAATGATGTCGGCTGCCATTAATGCCAGTTTTTTCTTTCTAAATATTTTGAAAAAAGTTTTATTTTTTAAATAAGCAAACTTTATTAAAAGCTTTATATTTGGTTTGATATTTTTGAACTGTCTTTTTTTTTTTTTTGCTCACTGTTGAATATATGTAACTTTTATTTGAGTTTATCAGCATCTGTCTATAAATAATTTTGTTTTTGTTTCAGATACTATGAAGAAGATGTTTACAGCAAAGACCCCGAAAATGGAGCCATTGACGAAGACCAGGACAAGAAAATTAAAGGAAAGTATATTTAATTTTAGTCTAATTATAATTTTAGTTCTATTACAGTAGCAGGCCTTACCAAGTTCCAGTCAGTCACAGAACATGAAGATTGTTTCATTGAATATTGGAAATGAGAAGCATGTAAGTATTTGGTTATACAATTGTACTTAAAACTATGTTCATATTTGTTAGGTCATTAAAATCAGTTTTTCCCTGGAAACTTACATATTCATCTGCATTTTTCTACAAGTAATTGGAAAAATATGACCTGATTTAAATTGTTTGAAATTCAGTTGAAATTTTAATCATTTCTGTTCAAGTGTATACATCAGATTGTTATGAATAGCCACCAACTTGTGATCATTTGAGGCACACATTAATTTCGAAAATAATGATTATATCATTAAACCGTCTTCATTACTGATTAAAATAAAGATTTAAAATGAAAATAGTAAATGATATATAGTCAAAAAGTGCAATTGACCAATGATGTTGGCTGCCATTAATGCCAGTTTTTTCTTTCTTTATATTTTGAAAAAAGTTTTATTTTTTAAATAAGCAAACTTTATTGAAAGTTTTATATTTGGTTTGATATTTTTGAACTGTTTTGGTTTATTTTTTTGGCTCACTGTTGAATATATGTAAATTTTATTTGAGTTTATCAGCATCTGTCTATAAATAATTTTGTTTTTGTTTCAGATACTATGAAGAAGATGTTTACAGCAAAGACCCCGAAAATGGAGCCATTGACGAAGACCAGGACAAGAAAATTAAAGGAAAGTATATTTAATTTTAGTCTAATTATAATTTTAGTTCTATTACAGTAGCAGGCCTTACCAAGTTCCAGTCAGTCACAGAACATGAAGATTGTTTCATTGAAGATTGGAAATGAGAAGCATGTAAGTATTTGGTTATACAATTGTACTTAAAACTATGTTCATATTTGTTAGGTCATTAAAATCAGTTTTTCCCTGGAAATTTACATATTCATCTGCCTTTTTCTACAAGTAATTGGAAAAATATGACCTGATTTAAATTGTTTGAAATTCAGTTGAATTTTAATCATTTCTGTTCAAGTGTATACATCAGATTGTTTTGAATAGCCACCAACTTGTGATCATTTGAGACACACATTAATTTCGAAAATAATGATTATGTCATTAAACCGTCTTCATTACTGATTAAAATAAAGATTTAAAATGAAAATAGTTAATGATATATAGTCAAAAAGCGCAATTGACCAATGATGTTGGCTGCCATTAATGCCAGTTTTTTCTTTCTTTATATTTTGAAAAAAGTTTTATTTTTTAAATAAGCAAACTTTATTGAAAGTTTTATATTTGGTTTGATATTTTTGAACTGTTTTGGTTTTTTTTTTTGGCTCACTGTTGAATATATGTAAATTTTATTTGAGTTTATCAGCATCTGTCTATAAATAATTTTGTTTTTGTTTCAGATACTATGAAGAAGATGTTTACAGCAAAGACCCCGAAAATGGAGCCATTGACGAAGACCAGGACAAGAAAATTAAAGGAAAGTATATTTAATTTTAGTCTAATTATAATTTTAGTTCTATTACAGTAGCAGGCCTTACCAAGTTCCAGTCAGTCACAGAACATGAAGATTGTTTCATTGAATATTGGAAATGAGAAGCATGTAAGTATTTGGTTATACAATTGTACTTAAAACTATGTTCATATTTGTTAGGTCATTAAAATCAGTTTTTCCCTGGAAATTTACATATTCATCTGCATTTTTCTATAAGAAATTGGGAAAATATGACCTGATTTAGATTGTTTGAAATTCAGTTGAACTTTAATCATTTCTGTTCAAGTGTATACATCAGATTGTTTTGAAAAGCCACCAACGTGATAATTTGACGCACACATTAATTTAAAAAATAATGATTATATCATTAAACCGTCTTCATTACTGATTAAAATAAAGATTTAAAATGAAAATAGTTAATGATATATAGTCAAAAAGAGCAATTGACCAATGATGTTGGCTGCCATTAATGCCAGTTTTTTCTTTCTTTATATTTTGAAAAAAGTTTTTTTTTTGGTTTGATATTTTTGAACTGTTTTTGTTTTTTTTTGGCTCACTGTTGAATATATGTATATTTTATTTGAGTTTACCAGCAGCTGTCTATAAATAATTTTGTTTTTGTTTCAGATACTATGAAGAAGATGTTTACAGCAAAGACCCCGAAAATGGAGCCATTGACGAAGACCAGGACAAGAAAATTAAAGGAAAGTATATTTAATTTTAGTCTAATTATAATTTTAGTTCTATTACAGTAGCAGGCCTTACCAAGTTCCAGTCAGTCACAGAACATGAAGATTGTTTCATTGAATATTGGAAATGAGAAGCATGTAAGTATTTGGTTATACAATTGTACTTAAAACTATGTTCATATTTGTGAGGTCATTAAAATCAGTTTTTCCCTGGAAATTTACATATTCATCTGCATTTTTCTACAAGTAATTGGGAAAATATGACCTGATTTAGATTGTTTGAAATTCAGTTGAATTTTAATCATTTCTGTTCAAGTGTATACATCAGATTGTTTTGAATAGCCACCAATTTGTGATAATTTGATGCACACATTAATTTCGAAAATAATGATTATATCATTAAACCGTCTTCATTACTGATTAAAATAAAGATTTAAAATGAAAATAGTTAATGATATATAGTCAAAAAGAGCAATTGACCAATGATGTTGGCTGCCATTAATGCGTTTTTTCTTTCTAAATATTTTGAAAAAAGTTTTATTTTTTAAATAAGCAAACTTTATTAAAATTTTTATATTTGGTTTGATGTTTTTGAACTGTCTTTTTTTTTTTTGCTCACTGTTGAATATATGTAAATTTTATTTGAGTTTATCAGCATCTGTCTATAAATAATTTTGTTTTTGTTTCAGATACTATGAAGAAGATGTTTACAGCAAAGACCCCGAAAATGGAGCCATTGACGAAGACCAGGACAAGAAAATTAAAGGAAAGTATATTTAATTTTAGTCTAATTATAATTTTAGTTCTATTACAGTAGCAGGCCTTACCAAGTTCCAGTCAGTCACAGAACATGGATTTTTTCATTGAAGATTGGAAATGAGAAGCATGTAAGTATTTGGTTATACAATTGTACTTAAAACTATGTTCATATTTGTTAGGTCATTAAAATCAGTTTTTCCCTGGAAATTTACATATTCATCTGCATTTTTCTACAAGTAATTGGAAAAATATGACCTGATTTAAATTGTTTGAAATTCAGTTGAATTTTAATCATTTCTGTTCAAGTGTATACATCAAGATTGTTTTGAATAGCCACCAACTTGTGATCATTTGAGGCACACATTAATTTCGAAAATAATGATTATATCATTAAACCTTCTTCATTACTGATTAAAATAAAGATTTAAAATGAAAATAGTTAATGATATATAGTCAAAAAGCGCAATTGACCAATGATGTTGGCTGCCATTAATGCCAGTTTTTTCTTTCTAAATATTTTGAAAAACTTTATTAAAAGTTTTATATTTGGTTTGATATTTTTGAACTGTCTTTTTTTTTTTGCTCACTGTTGAATATATGTAAATTTTATTTGAGTTTATCAGCATCTGTCTATAAATAATTTTGTTTTTGTTTCAGATACTATGAAGAAGATGTTTACAGCAAAGACCCCGAAAATGGAGCCATTGACGAAGACCAGGACAAGAAAATTAAAGGAAAGTATATTTAATTTTAGTCTAATTATAATTTTAGTTCTATTACAGTAGCAGGCCTTACCAAGTTCCAGTCAGTCACAGAACATGGATTTTTTCATTGAAGATTGGAAATGAGAAGCATGTAAGTATTTGGTTATACAATTGTACTTAAAACTATGTTCATATTTGTTAGGTCATTAAAATCAGTTTTTCCCTGGAAATTTACATATTCATCTGCATTTTTCTACAAGTAATTGGAAAAATATGAGCTGATTTAAATTGTTTGAAATTCAGTTGAATTTTAATCATTTCTGTTCAAGTGTATACATCAAGATTGTTTTGAATAGCCACCAACTTGTGATCATTTGAGGCACACATTAATTTCGAAAATAATGATTATATCATTAAACCGTCTTCATTACTGATTAAAATAAAGATTTAAAATGAAAATAGTTAATGATATATAGTCAAAAAGCGCAATTGACCAATGATGTTGGCTGCCATTAATGCCAGTTTTTTCTTTCTAAATATTTTGAAAAACTTTATTAAAAGTTTTATATTTGGTTTGATATTTTTGAACTGTCTTTTTTTTTTTGCTCACTGTTGAATATATGTAAATTTTATTTGAGTTTATCAGCATCTGTCTATAAATAATTTTGCTTTTGTTTCAGATACTATGAAGAAGATGTTTACAGCAAAGACCCCGAAAACGGAGCCATTGACGAAGACCAGGACAAGAAAATTAAAGGAAAGTATATTTAATTTTAGTCTAATTATAATTTTAGTTCTATTACAGTAGCAGGCCTTACCAAGTTCCAGTCAGTCACAGAACATGGATTTTTTCATTGAAGATTGGAAATGAGAAGCATGTAAGTATTTGGTTATACAATTGTACTTAAAACTATGTTCATATTTGTTAGGTCATTAAAATCAGTTTTTCCCTGGAAATTTACATATTCATCTGCATTTTTCTACAAGTAATTGGAAAAATATGACCTGATTTAAATTGTTTGAAATTCAGTTGAATTTTAATCATTTCTGTTCAAGTGTATACATCAAGATTGTTTTGAATAGCCACCAACTTGTGATCATTTGAGGCACACATTAATTTCGAAAATAATGATTATATCATTAAACCGTCTTCATTACTGATTAAAATAAAGATTTAAAATGAAAATAGTTAATGATATATAGTCAAAAAGCGCAATTGACCAATGATGTTGGCTGCCATTAATGCCAGTTTTTTCTTTCTAAATATTTTGAAAAAAGTTTTATTTTTTAAATAAGCAAACTTTATTAAAAGTTTTATATTTGGTTTGATATTTTTGAACTGTCTTTTTTTTTTTTGCTCACTGTTGAATATATGTAAATTTTATTTGAGTTTATCAGCATCTGTCTATAAATAATTTTGTTTTTGTTTCAGATACTATGAAGAAGATGTTTACAGCAAAGACCCCGAAAATGGAGCCATTGACGAAGACCAGGACAAGAAAATTAAAGGAAAGTATATTTAATTTTAGTCTAATTATAATTTTAGTTCTATTACAGTAGCAGGCCTTACCAAGTTCCAGTCAGTCACAGAACATGAAGATTGTTTCATTGAATATTGGAAATGAGAAGCATGTAAGTATTTGGTTATACAATTGTACTTAAAACTATGTTCATATTTGTTAGGTCATTAAAATCAGTTTTTCCCTGGAAACTTACATATTCATCTGCATTTTTCTACAAGTAATTGGAAAAATATGACCTGATTTAAATTGTTTGAAATTCAGTTGAATTTTAATCATTTCTGTTCAAGTGTATACATCAGATTGTTTTGAATAGCCACCAACTTGTGATCATTTGAGGCACACATTAATTTCGAAAATAATGATTATATCATTAAACCGTCTTCATTACTGATTAAAATAAAGATTTAAAATGAAAATAGTAAATGATATATAGTCAAAAAGTGCAATTGACCAATGATGTTGGCTGCCATTAATGCCAGTTTTTTCTTTCTAAATATTTTGAAAAAAGTTTTATTTTTTAAATAAGCAAACTTTATTAAAAGTTTTATATTTGGTTTGATATTTTTGAACTGTCTTTTTTTTTTTGCTCACTGTTGAATATATGTAAATTTTATTTGAGTTTATCAGCATCTGTCTATAAATAATTTTGTTTTTGTTTCAGATACTATGAAGAAGATGTTTACAGCAAAGACCCCGAAAATGGAGCCATTGACGAAGACCAGGACAAGAAAATTAAAGGAAAGTATATTTAATTTTAGTCTAATTATAATTTTAGTTCTATTACAGTAGCAGGCCTTACCAAGTTCCAGTCAGTCACAGAACGTGGATTGTTTCATTGAAGATTGGAAATGAGAAGCATGTAAGTATTTGGTTATACATTTGTACTTAAAACTATGTTCATATTTGTTAGGTCATTAAAATCAGTTTTTCCCTGGAAATTTACATATTCATCTGCATTTTTCTACAAGAAATTGGGAAAATATGAGCTGATTTAGATTGTTTGAAATTGAGTTGAATTTTAATCATTTCTGTTCAAGTGTACACATCAGATTGTTTTGAAAAGCCACCAATTTGTGATAATTTGACGCACACATTAATTTTGAAAATAATGATTATATCATTAAACCGTCTTCATTACTGATTAAAATAAAGATTTAAAATGAAAATAGTTAATGATATATAGTCAAAAAGAGCAATTGACCAATGATGTCGGCTGCCATTAATGCCAGTTTTTTCTTTCTAAATATTTTGAAAAAAGTTTTATTTTTTAAATAAGCAAACTTTATTAAAAGCTTTATATTTGGTTTGATATTTTTGAACTGTCTTTTTTTTTTTTTTGCTCACTGTTGAATATATGTAACTTTTATTTGAGTTTATCAGCATCTGTCTATAAATAATTTTGTTTTTGTTTCAGATACTATGAAGAAGATGTTTACAGCAAAGACCCCGAAAATGGAGCCATTGACGAAGACCAGGACAAGAAAATTAAAGGAAAGTATATTTAATTTTAGTCTAATTATAATTTTAGTTCTATTACAGTAGCAGGCCTTACCAAGTTCCAGTCAGTCACAGAACATGAAGATTGTTTCATTGAATATTGGAAATGAGAAGCATGTAAGTATTTGGTTATACAATTGTACTTAAAACTATGTTCATATTTGTTAGGTCATTAAAATCAGTTTTTCCCTGGAAACTTACATATTCATCTGCATTTTTCTACAAGTAATTGGAAAAATATGACCTGATTTAAATTGTTTGAAATTCAGTTGAATTTTAATCATTTCTGTTCAAGTGTATACATCAGATTGTTTTGAATAGCCACCAACTTGTGATCATTTGAGGCACACATTAATTTCGAAAATAATGATTATATCATTAAACCGTCTTCATTACTGATTAAAATAAAGATTTAAAATGAAAATAGTAAATGATATATAGTCAAAAAGTGCAATTGACCAATGATGTTGGCTGCCATTAATGCCAGTTTTTTCTTTCTAAATATTTTGAAAAAAGTTTTATTTTTTAAATAAGCAAACTTTATTAAAAGTTTTATATTTGGTTTGATATTTTTGAACTGTCTTTTTTTTTTTGCTCACTGTTGAATATATGTAAATTTTATTTGAGTTTATCAGCAGCTGTCTATAAATAATTTTGTTTTTGTTTCAGATACTATGAAGAAGATGTTTACAGCAAAGACCCCGAAAATGGAGCCATTGACGAAGACCAGGACAAGAAAATTAAAGGAAAGTATATTTAATTTTAGTCTAATTATAATTTTAGTTCTATTACAGTAGCAGGCCTTACCAAGTTCCAGTCAGTCACAGAACATGAAGATTGTTTCATTGAATATTGGAAATGAGAAGCATGTAAGTATTTGGTTATACAATTGTACTTAAAACTATGTTCATATTTGTTAGGTCATTAAAATCAGTTTTTCCCTGGAAACTTACATATTCATCTGCATTTTTCTACAAGTAATTGGAAAAATATGACCTGATTTAAATTGTTTGAAATTCAGTTGAATTTTAATCATTTCTGTTCAAGTGTATACATCAGATTGTTTTGAATAGCCACCAACTTGTGATCATTTGAGGCACACATTAATTTCGAAAATAATGATTATATCATTAAACCATCTTCATTACTGATTAAAATAAAGATTTAAAATGAAAATAGTAAATGATATATAGTCAAAAAGTGCAATTGACCAATGATGTTGGCTGCCATTAATGCCAGTTTTTTCTTTCTAAATATTTTGAAAAAAGTTTTATTTTTTAAATAAGCAAACTTTATTAAAAGTTTTATATTTGGTTTGATATTTTTGAACTGTCTTTTTTTTTTTGCTCACTGTTGAATATATGTAAATTTTATTTGAGTTTATCAGCATCTGTCTATAAATAATTTTGTTTTTGTTTCAGATACTATGAAGAAGATGTTTACAGCAAAGACCCCGAAAATGGAGCCATTGACGAAGACCAGGACAAGAAAATTAAAGGAAAGTATATTTAATTTTAGTCTAATTATAATTTTAGTTCTATTACAGTAGCAGGCCTTACCAAGTTCCAGTCAGTCACAGAACGTGGATTGTTTCATTGAAGATTGGAAATGAGAAGCATGTAAGTATTTGGTTATACATTTGTACTTAAAACTATGTTCATATTTGTTAGGTCATTAAAATCAGTTTTTCCCTGGAAATTTACATATTCATCTGCATTTTTCTACAAGTAATTGGAAAAATATGAGCTGATTTAGATTGTTTGAAATTCAGTTGAATTTTAATCATTTCTGTTCAAGTGTATACATCAGATTGTTTTGAAAAGCCACCAATTTGTGATAATTTGAGGCACACATTAATTTTGAAAATAATGATTATATCATTAAACCGTCTTCATTACTGATTAAAATAAAGATTTAAAATGAAAAAAGTTAATGATATATAGTCAAAAAGAGCAATTGACCAATGATGTCGGCTGCCATTAATGCCAGTTTTTTCTTTCTAAATATTTTGAAAAAAGTTTTATTTTTTAAATAAGCAAACTTTATTAAAAGCTTTATATTTGGTTTGATATTTTTGAACTGTCTTTTTTTTTTTTTTGCTCACTGTTGAATATATGTAACTTTTATTTGAGTTTATCAGCATCTGTCTATAAATAATTTTGTTTTTGTTTCAGATACTATGAAGAAGATGTTTACAGCAAAGACCCCGAAAATGGAGCCATTGACGAAGACCAGGACAAGAAAATTAAAGGAAAGTATATTTAATTTTAGTCTAATTATAATTTTAGTTCTATTACAGTAGCAGGCCTTACCAAGTTCCAGTCAGTCACAGAACATGAAGATTGTTTCATTGAATATTGGAAATGAGAAGCATGTAAGTATTTGGTTATACAATTGTACTTAAAACTATGTTCATATTTGTTAGGTCATTAAAATCAGTTTTTCCCTGGAAACTTACATATTCATCTGCATTTTTCTACAAGTAATTGGAAAAATATGACCTGATTTAAATTGTTTGAAATTCAGTTGAAATTTTAATCATTTCTGTTCAAGTGTATACATCAGATTGTTATGAATAGCCACCAACTTGTGATCATTTGAGGCACACATTAATTTCGAAAATAATGATTATATCATTAAACCGTCTTCATTACTGATTAAAATAAAGATTTAAAATGAAAATAGTAAATGATATATAGTCAAAAAGTGCAATTGACCAATGATGTTGGCTGCCATTAATGCCAGTTTTTTCTTTCTTTATATTTTGAAAAAAGTTTTATTTTTTAAATAAGCAAACTTTATTGAAAGTTTTATATTTGGTTTGATATTTTTGAACTGTTTTGGTTTATTTTTTTGGCTCACTGTTGAATATATGTAAATTTTATTTGAGTTTATCAGCATCTGTCTATAAATAATTTTGTTTTTGTTTCAGATACTATGAAGAAGATGTTTACAGCAAAGACCCCGAAAATGGAGCCATTGACGAAGACCAGGACAAGAAAATTAAAGGAAAGTATATTTAATTTTAGTCTAATTATAATTTTAGTTCTATTACAGTAGCAGGCCTTACCAAGTTCCAGTCAGTCACAGAACATGAAGATTGTTTCATTGAAGATTGGAAATGAGAAGCATGTAAGTATTTGGTTATACAATTGTACTTAAAACTATGTTCATATTTGTTAGGTCATTAAAATCAGTTTTTCCCTGGAAATTTACATATTCATCTGCCTTTTTCTACAAGTAATTGGAAAAATATGACCTGATTTAAATTGTTTGAAATTCAGTTGAATTTTAATCATTTCTGTTCAAGTGTATACATCAGATTGTTTTGAATAGCCACCAACTTGTGATCATTTGAGACACACATTAATTTCGAAAATAATGATTATGTCATTAAACCGTCTTCATTACTGATTAAAATAAAGATTTAAAATGAAAATAGTTAATGATATATAGTCAAAAAGCGCAATTGACCAATGATGTTGGCTGCCATTAATGCCAGTTTTTTCTTTCTTTATATTTTGAAAAAAGTTTTATTTTTTAAATAAGCAAACTTTATTGAAAGTTTTATATTTGGTTTGATATTTTTGAACTGTTTTGGTTTTTTTTTTTGGCTCACTGTTGAATATATGTAAATTTTATTTGAGTTTATCAGCATCTGTCTATAAATAATTTTGTTTTTGTTTCAGATACTATGAAGAAGATGTTTACAGCAAAGACCCCGAAAATGGAGCCATTGACGAAGACCAGGACAAGAAAATTAAAGGAAAGTATATTTAATTTTAGTCTAATTATAATTTTAGTTCTATTACAGTAGCAGGCCTTACCAAGTTCCAGTCAGTCACAGAACATGAAGATTGTTTCATTGAATATTGGAAATGAGAAGCATGTAAGTATTTGGTTATACAATTGTACTTAAAACTATGTTCATATTTGTTAGGTCATTAAAATCAGTTTTTCCCTGGAAATTTACATATTCATCTGCATTTTTCTATAAGAAATTGGGAAAATATGACCTGATTTAGATTGTTTGAAATTCAGTTGAACTTTAATCATTTCTGTTCAAGTGTATACATCAGATTGTTTTGAAAAGCCACCAACGTGATAATTTGACGCACACATTAATTTCAAAAATAATGATTATATCATTAAACCGTCTTCATTACTGATTAAAATAAAGATTTAAAATGAAAATAGTTAATGATATATAGTCAAAAAGAGCAATTGACCAATGATGTTGGCTGCCATTAATGCCAGTTTTTTCTTTCTTTATATTTTGAAAAAAGTTTTTTTTTTGGTTTGATATTTTTGAACTGTTTTTGTTTTTTTTTGGCTCACTGTTGAATATATGTATATTTTATTTGAGTTTACCAGCAGCTGTCTATAAATAATTTTGTTTTTGTTTCAGATACTATGAAGAAGATGTTTACAGCAAAGACCCCGAAAATGGAGCCATTGACGAAGACCAGGACAAGAAAATTAAAGGAAAGTATATTTAATTTTAGTCTAATTATAATTTTAGTTCTATTACAGTAGCAGGCCTTACCAAGTTCCAGTCAGTCACAGAACATGAAGATTGTTTCATTGAATATTGGAAATGAGAAGCATGTAAGTATTTGGTTATACAATTGTACTTAAAACTATGTTCATATTTGTTAGGTCATTAAAATCAGTTTTTCCCTGGAAATTTACATATTCATCTGCATTTTTCTACAAGTAATTGGGAAAATATGACCTGATTTAGATTGTTTGAAATTCAGTTGAATTTTAATCATTTCTGTTCAAGTGTATACATCAGATTGTTTTGAATAGCCACCAATTTGTGATAATTTGATGCACACATTAATTTCGAAAATAATGATTATATCATTAAACCGTCTTCATTACTGATTAAAATAAAGATTTAAAATGAAAATAGTTAATGATATATAGTCAAAAAGAGCAATTGACCAATGATGTTGGCTGCCATTAATGCGTTTTTTCTTTCTAAATATTTTGAAAAAAGTTTTATTTTTTAAATAAGCAAACTTTATTAAAATTTTTATATTTGGTTTGATGTTTTTGAACTGTCTTTTTTTTTTTTGCTCACTGTTGAATATATGTAAATTTTATTTGAGTTTATCAGCATCTGTCTATAAATAATTTTGTTTTTGTTTCAGATACTATGAAGAAGATGTTTACAGCAAAGACCCCGAAAATGGAGCCATTGACGAAGACCAGGACAAGAAAATTAAAGGAAAGTATATTTAATTTTAGTCTAATTATAATTTTAGTTCTATTACAGTAGCAGGCCTTACCAAGTTCCAGTCAGTCACAGAACATGGATTTTTTCATTGAAGATTGGAAATGAGAAGCATGTAAGTATTTGGTTATACAATTGTACTTAAAACTATGTTCATATTTGTTAGGTCATTAAAATCAGTTTTTCCCTGGAAATTTACATATTCATCTGCATTTTTCTACAAGTAATTGGAAAAATATGACCTGATTTAAATTGTTTGAAATTCAGTTGAATTTTAATCATTTCTGTTCAAGTGTATACATCAAGATTGTTTTGAATAGCCACCAACTTGTGATCATTTGAGGCACACATTAATTTCGAAAATAATGATTATATCATTAAACCTTCTTCATTACTGATTAAAATAAAGATTTAAAATGAAAATAGTTAATGATATATAGTCAAAAAGCGCAATTGACCAATGATGTTGGCTGCCATTAATGCCAGTTTTTTCTTTCTAAATATTTTGAAAAACTTTATTAAAAGTTTTATATTTGGTTTGATATTTTTGAACTGTCTTTTTTTTTTTGCTCACTGTTGAATATATGTAAATTTTATTTGAGTTTATCAGCATCTGTCTATAAATAATTTTGTTTTTGTTTCAGATACTATGAAGAAGATGTTTACAGCAAAGACCCCGAAAATGGAGCCATTGACGAAGACCAGGACAAGAAAATTAAAGGAAAGTATATTTAATTTTAGTCTAATTATAATTTTAGTTCTATTACAGTAGCAGGCCTTACCAAGTTCCAGTCAGTCACAGAACATGGATTTTTTCATTGAAGATTGGAAATGAGAAGCATGTAAGTATTTGGTTATACAATTGTACTTAAAACTATGTTCATATTTGTTAGGTCATTAAAATCAGTTTTTCCCTGGAAATTTACATATTCATCTGCATTTTTCTACAAGTAATTGGAAAAATATGAGCTGATTTAAATTGTTTGAAATTCAGTTGAATTTTAATCATTTCTGTTCAAGTGTATACATCAAGATTGTTTTGAATAGCCACCAACTTGTGATCATTTGAGGCACACATTAATTTCGAAAATAATGATTATATCATTAAACCGTCTTCATTACTGATTAAAATAAAGATTTAAAATGAAAATAGTTAATGATATATAGTCAAAAAGCGCAATTGACCAATGATGTTGGCTGCCATTAATGCCAGTTTTTTCTTTCTAAATATTTTGAAAAACTTTATTAAAAGTTTTATATTTGGTTTGATATTTTTGAACTGTCTTTTTTTTTTTGCTCACTGTTGAATATATGTAAATTTTATTTGAGTTTATCAGCATCTGTCTATAAATAATTTTGCTTTTGTTTCAGATACTATGAAGAAGATGTTTACAGCAAAGACCCCGAAAACGGAGCCATTGACGAAGACCAGGACAAGAAAATTAAAGGAAAGTATATTTAATTTTAGTCTAATTATAATTTTAGTTCTATTACAGTAGCAGGCCTTACCAAGTTCCAGTCAGTCACAGAACATGGATTTTTTCATTGAAGATTGGAAATGAGAAGCATGTAAGTATTTGGTTATACAATTGTACTTAAAACTATGTTCATATTTGTTAGGTCATTAAAATCAGTTTTTCCCTGGAAATTTACATATTCATCTGCATTTTTCTACAAGTAATTGGAAAAATATGACCTGATTTAAATTGTTTGAAATTCAGTTGAATTTTAATCATTTCTGTTCAAGTGTATACATCAAGATTGTTTTGAATAGCCACCAACTTGTGATCATTTGAGGCACACATTAATTTCGAAAATAATGATTATATCATTAAACCGTCTTCATTACTGATTAAAATAAAGATTTAAAATGAAAATAGTTAATGATATATAGTCAAAAAGCGCAATTGACCAATGATGTTGGCTGCCATTAATGCCAGTTTTTTCTTTCTAAATATTTTGAAAAAAGTTTTATTTTTTAAATAAGCAAACTTTATTAAAAGTTTTATATTTGGTTTGATATTTTTGAACTGTCTTTTTTTTTTTTGCTCACTGTTGAATATATGTAAATTTTATTTGAGTTTATCAGCATCTGTCTATAAATAATTTTGTTTTTGTTTCAGATACTATGAAGAAGATGTTTACAGCAAAGACCCCGAAAATGGAGCCATTGACGAAGACCAGGACAAGAAAATTAAAGGAAAGTATATTTAATTTTAGTCTAATTATAATTTTAGTTCTATTACAGTAGCAGGCCTTACCAAGTTCCAGTCAGTCACAGAACATGAAGATTGTTTCATTGAATATTGGAAATGAGAAGCATGTAAGTATTTGGTTATACAATTGTACTTAAAACTATGTTCATATTTGTTAGGTCATTAAAATCAGTTTTTCCCTGGAAACTTACATATTCATCTGCATTTTTCTACAAGTAATTGGAAAAATATGACCTGATTTAAATTGTTTGAAATTCAGTTGAATTTTAATCATTTCTGTTCAAGTGTATACATCAGATTGTTTTGAATAGCCACCAACTTGTGATCATTTGAGGCACACATTAATTTCGAAAATAATGATTATATCATTAAACCGTCTTCATTACTGATTAAAATAAAGATTTAAAATGAAAATAGTAAATGATATATAGTCAAAAAGTGCAATTGACCAATGATGTTGGCTGCCATTAATGCCAGTTTTTTCTTTCTAAATATTTTGAAAAAAGTTTTATTTTTTAAATAAGCAAACTTTATTAAAAGTTTTATATTTGGTTTGATATTTTTGAACTGTCTTTTTTTTTTTGCTCACTGTTGAATATATGTAAATTTTATTTGAGTTTATCAGCATCTGTCTATAAATAATTTTGTTTTTGTTTCAGATACTATGAAGAAGATGTTTACAGCAAAGACCCCGAAAATGGAGCCATTGACGAAGACCAGGACAAGAAAATTAAAGGAAAGTATATTTAATTTTAGTCTAATTATAATTTTAGTTCTATTACAGTAGCAGGCCTTACCAAGTTCCAGTCAGTCACAGAACGTGGATTGTTTCATTGAAGATTGGAAATGAGAAGCATGTAAGTATTTGGTTATACATTTGTACTTAAAACTATGTTCATATTTGTTAGGTCATTAAAATCAGTTTTTCCCTGGAAATTTACATATTCATCTGCATTTTTCTACAAGAAATTGGGAAAATATGAGCTGATTTAGATTGTTTGAAATTGAGTTGAATTTTAATCATTTCTGTTCAAGTGTACACATCAGATTGTTTTGAAAAGCCACCAATTTGTGATAATTTGACGCACACATTAATTTTGAAAATAATGATTATATCATTAAACCGTCTTCATTACTGATTAAAATAAAGATTTAAAATGAAAATAGTTAATGATATATAGTCAAAAAGAGCAATTGACCAATGATGTCGGCTGCCATTAATGCCAGTTTTTTCTTTCTAAATATTTTGAAAAAAGTTTTATTTTTTAAATAAGCAAACTTTATTAAAAGCTTTATATTTGGTTTGATATTTTTGAACTGTCTTTTTTTTTTTTTTGCTCACTGTTGAATATATGTAACTTTTATTTGAGTTTATCAGCATCTGTCTATAAATAATTTTGTTTTTGTTTCAGATACTATGAAGAAGATGTTTACAGCAAAGACCCCGAAAATGGAGCCATTGACGAAGACCAGGACAAGAAAATTAAAGGAAAGTATATTTAATTTTAGTCTAATTATAATTTTAGTTCTATTACAGTAGCAGGCCTTACCAAGTTCCAGTCAGTCACAGAACATGAAGATTGTTTCATTGAATATTGGAAATGAGAAGCATGTAAGTATTTGGTTATACAATTGTACTTAAAACTATGTTCATATTTGTTAGGTCATTAAAATCAGTTTTTCCCTGGAAACTTACATATTCATCTGCATTTTTCTACAAGTAATTGGAAAAATATGACCTGATTTAAATTGTTTGAAATTCAGTTGAATTTTAATCATTTCTGTTCAAGTGTATACATCAGATTGTTTTGAATAGCCACCAACTTGTGATCATTTGAGGCACACATTAATTTCGAAAATAATGATTATATCATTAAACCGTCTTCATTACTGATTAAAATAAAGATTTAAAATGAAAATAGTAAATGATATATAGTCAAAAAGTGCAATTGACCAATGATGTTGGCTGCCATTAATGCCAGTTTTTTCTTTCTAAATATTTTGAAAAAAGTTTTATTTTTTAAATAAGCAAACTTTATTAAAAGTTTTATATTTGGTTTGATATTTTTGAACTGTCTTTTTTTTTTTGCTCACTGTTGAATATATGTAAATTTTATTTGAGTTTATCAGCAGCTGTCTATAAATAATTTTGTTTTTGTTTCAGATACTATGAAGAAGATGTTTACAGCAAAGACCCCGAAAATGGAGCCATTGACGAAGACCAGGACAAGAAAATTAAAGGAAAGTATATTTAATTTTAGTCTAATTATAATTTTAGTTCTATTACAGTAGCAGGCCTTACCAAGTTCCAGTCAGTCACAGAACATGAAGATTGTTTCATTGAAGATTGGAAATGAGAAGCATGTAAGTATTTGGTTATACAATTGTACTTAAAACTATGTTCATATTTGTTAGGTCATTAAAATCAGTTTTTCCCTGGAAATTTACATATTCATCTGCCTTTTTCTACAAGTAATTGGAAAAATATGACCTGATTTAAATTGTTTGAAATTCAGTTGAATTTTAATCATTTCTGTTCAAGTGTATACATCAGATTGTTTTGAATAGCCACCAACTTGTGATCATTTGAGGCACACATTAATTTCGAAAATAATGATTATGTCATTAAACCGTCTTCATTACTGATTAAAATAAAGATTTAAAATGAAAATAGTTAATGATATATAGTCAAAAAGCGCAATTGACCAATGATGTTGGCTGCCATTAATGCCAGTTTTTTCTTTCTTTATATTTTGAAAAAAGTTTTATTTTTTAAATAAGCAAACTTTATTGAAAGTTTTATATTTGGTTTGATATTTTTGAACTGTTTTGGTTTTTTTTTTTGGCTCACTGTTGAATATATGTAAATTTTATTTGAGTTTATCAGCATCTGTCTATAAATAATTTTGTTTTTGTTTCAGATACTATGAAGAAGATGTTTACAGCAAAGACCCCGAAAATGGAGCCATTGACGAAGACCAGGACAAGAAAATTAAAGGAAAGTATATTTAATTTTAGTCTAATTATAATTTTAGTTCTATTACAGTAGCAGGCCTTACCAAGTTCCAGTCAGTCACAGAACATGAAGATTGTTTCATTGAATATTGGAAATGAGAAGCATGTAAGTATTTGGTTATACAATTGTACTTAAAACTATGTTCATCTTTGTTAGGTCATTAAAATCAGTTTTTCCCTGGAAATTTACATATTCATCTGCATTTTTCTATAAGAAATTGGGAAAATATGACCTGATTTAGATTGTTTGAAATTCAGTTGAACTTTAATCATTTCTGTTCAAGTGTATACATCAGATTGTTTTGAAAAGCCACCAACGTGATAATTTGACGCACACATTAATTTCAAAAATAATGATTATATCATTAAACCGTCTTCATTACTGATTAAAATAAAGATTTAAAATGAAAATAGTTAATGATATATAGTCAAAAAGAGCAATTGACCAATGATGTTGGCTGCCATTAATGCCAGTTTTTTCTTTCTTTATATTTTGAAAAAAGTTTTTTTTTTGGTTTGATATTTTTGAACTGTTTTTGTTTTTTTTTGGCTCACTGTTGAATATATGTATATTTTATTTGAGTTTACCAGCAGCTGTCTATAAATAATTTTGTTTTTGTTTCAGATACTATGAAGAAGATGTTTACAGCAAAGACCCCGAAAATGGAGCCATTGACGAAGACCAGGACAAGAAAATTAAAGGAAAGTATATTTAATTTTAGTCTAATTATAATTTTAGTTCTATTACAGTAGCAGGCCTTACCAAGTTCCAGTCAGTCACAGAACATGAAGATTGTTTCATTGAATATTGGAAATGAGAAGCATGTAAGTATTTGGTTATACAATTGTACTTAAAACTATGTTCGTATTTGTTAGGTCATTAAAATCAGTTTTTCCCTGGAAATTTACATATTCATCTGCCTTTTTCTACAAGTAATTGGAAAAATATGACCTGATTTAAATTGTTTGAAATTCAGTTGAATTTTAATCATTTCTGTTCAAGTGTATACATCAGATTGTTTTGAATAGCCACCAACTTGTGATCATTTGAGGCACACATTAATTTCGAAAATAATGATTATGTCATTAAACCGTCTTCATTACTGATTAAAATAAAGATTTAAAATGAAAATAGTTAATGATATATAGTCAAAAAGCGCAATTGACCAATGATGTTGGCTGCCATTAATGCCAGTTTTTTTTTTCTTTATATTTTGAAAAAAGTTTTATTTTTTAAATAAGCAAACTTTATTGAAAGTTTTATATTTGGTTTGATATTTTTGAACTGTTTTGGTTTTTTTTTTGGCTCACTGTTGAATATATGTAAATTTTATT